GGTGGTGCGCGTACCGCGTAGACAGGGGCGCAACTTCGGTTGGGGGGGGGGGTACGTGGGAGCGTCAAGGGACACACAGGGGCCCATTCGGCCTCAAGGGGGGAGGGGGGCGCATCAACAAAGATAAATAAAACAAATGCTCATAAAAAATTACTAAAAATAAATGTTCCAGCAATGAACCAGAAATGCCAAATAATTACGTTTTACGAAAAATACACGCACCGTGAAATGTCGTTACTGTCTTGTTTGCGAACTGGCATGAGCACGAAAGAAAAACGCACGATAACTTCATTGTGGGTATTGTAACCTTTACATCGTTTTATTTACTAATTTATTAATACTGCCACTGTGACACCGTCTTCTAAACTCAATACCCGGTGCAACTAAAATTATGTAAATATGTCGTTGTAGCCTAACATATTGTATTGGGGAGGGGGGGTTAAAAAACGATAGCTATTGCAGTGAAAGTGAGTCTGGAGAAAGAGGAGGGAGGATTTCCACAGTCGGATCTTGAATAACCCCCCCAGAAATGGCTCGCAGCGCCCCTGCGCGTACCGCAGGTGTGGCTGCACCACGCAGTGCCAGATGAAGGTTCTTGTCGGCCCTAGGGCACTACTTCTGTTTCGCGAGGCCTTCAGTGATGACTCTCTGCAGTTTGCTGCTGCCCCCCCATGTTACTGCCGCTGCCACCGCGGGCACTCGGCTCTTTTCACGCGGTACTTCGTCCAGCCGCTGGACAGGCCTCGTTACTGCTGATATGTTGCTCTTGGGATGCATCTCGCCACCGTGAGAACGAATTGTGAGGGTGGAGCATTTTTTTTCTAAACTAAAGCTGATAAAAAAATAACTATCCTATCAACCATAGCACAACAATGCCGCCTTGTCTTCCCCTGCACCGCTGTCTATTGAGAATGAGATTGTGCGAAAAACATCCCTTGAAGATGTTTTTTTTATAATCTTGCAATGAAAAAAATGTCGAAAAGTTCATCTCCGGTGTTAATTTCGCTCACCTTATGAAAAAAAACCCCGATTGACATGACTCTGCCTCTTTGTATATACACTGTCCTATATATATAAAATATTCAAGAAAATATCTTGGCTACATTTTTTTATCATACAAACAACAAAAAGAGATGGTCACAATTTGTTTAAGTAGGCCGTAGGCATAGCGCCGACTGTGGCCTATTGGGCAATACGGCCCAGGTGGGGGAGTGGGTGGGGGAGTGGGTGGGTGAGTGGGGGGAGTGGGTGGGGGGAGTGGGTGGGTGAGTGGGTGGGTGAGTGGGGGGAGTGGGTGGGGGGAGTGGGTGGGGGGAGTGGAGTGGGTGGGTGAGTGGGTGGGGAGTGGGTGGGTGAGTGGGGGGGAGTGGGGGGAGTGGGGGGGAGTGGGGGGTGAGTGGGGGGAGTGGGTGGGGTGAGTGGGTGGGGGAGTGGGTGGGGGAGTGGGTGGGTGAGTGGGGGGAGTGGGTGGGGGGGAGTGGGGGGAGTGGGTGGGGGAGTGGGTGGGGGGAGTGGGGGGAGTGGGTGGAGGAGTGTGGGGAGTGGGTGGAGGAGTGTGGGGAGTGGGTGGGTGAGTGGGGGGAGTAGGTGGGTGAGTGGGGGGAGTGGGTAGGTGAGTGGGGGGAGTGGGGGGTGAGTGGGGGGAGTGGGTGGGTGATGTGGGGGGAGTGGGTGGGGTGCAGTGTGGGGGGAGTGGGTGGGGGGAGTGGGGGAGTGGATGGGTGAGTGGGGGGAGTGGGTGGGTGAGTGGGGGGAGTGGGTGGGGGGAGTGGGGGGAGTGGATGGGTGAGTGTGGGGAGTGGGTGGAGGAGTGTGGGGAGTGGGTGGAGGAGTGTGGGGAGTGGGTGGGGGGAGTGGTGGGGTGAGTGGGTGGGTGAGTGGGGGGAGTGGGTGGGGGAGTGGGTGGGGGGAGTGGAGTGGGTGGGTGAGTGGGGGGGAGTGGGTGGGGAGTGGGTGGGTGAGTGGGTGGGAGTGGGTGGGGGGAGTGGGGGGAGGAGTGGGTGGGGGGGAGTGGGGGGAGGTGGGTGGGGGGGAGTGGGGGGGGAGTGGCGTGGTGTGAGTGGGGGGAGTGGGTGGGAGTGGGAGTGGGTGGGGAGTGCGGGGAGTGGGTGGGGGAGTGTGGGGAGTGGGTGGAGGAGTGTGGGGAGTGGGTGGGGTGAGTGGGGGAGTGGGTGGGTGAGTGGGGGGAGTGGGTGGGTGAGTGGGGGGAGTGGGTGGTGGGGGAGTGGGGGGTGAGTGGGGGGAGTGGGGGGAGTAGGTGGGTGAGTGGGTGGGGAGTGGGTGGGTGAGTGGGGGGGAGTGGGTGGGGGGAGTGGGGGGAGTGGGGGGAGTGGGTGGGGGGAGTGGGTGGGGGAGTGGGTGGGTGAGTGGGGGGAGTGGGTGGGGGGAGTGGGTGGGGGGAGTGGGGGGAGTGGGGGGAGTGGGTGGGTGAGTGGGGGGAGTGGGTGGGGGAGTGGGTGGGTGGAGTGGGTGGGGGGAGTGGGTGGGGGGAGTGGGGGGAGTGGGTGGGGGAGTGGGTGGGGGGAGTGGGGGGGAGTGGGTGGGGGGAGTGGGGGGAGTGGGTGGGTGAGTGGGGGGAGTGGGTGGGTGAGTGGGGGGAGTGGGTGGTGAGTGGGGGGAGTGGGTGGGTGAGTGGGGGGAGTGGGGGGAGTAGGTGGGTGAGTGGGGGGAGTGGGTAGGTGAGTGGGGGGAGTGGGTGGGTGAGTGGGGGGAGTGGGTGGGGTGAGTGGGGGGAGTGGGTGGGGGGAGTGGGGGGAGTGGATGGGTGAGTGGGGGAGTGGGTGGGTGAGTGGGGGGAGTGGGTGGGGGGAGTGGGGGGAGTGGATGGGTGAGTGGGGGGAGTGGGTGGGTGAGTGGGGGGAGTGGGTGGGTGAGTGGGGGGAGTGGGTGGGGGAGTGGGTGGGTGAGTGGGGGGCAGTGGCGTAGCTAGGATATTTTGCGCCCGTGGACGAACTATAAAATTGGCGCCCCCCCCCCCCCCGTTTAATCACATACCAAAATGTAATTACATGACATGCAGGCTGTGTGTGGCGGGATATATAAACTTTTAGGTTGAGGTGTCGATTTGTGCAGTAGTTTCAGGCTGCCGCGCCCGCCGCAATAAGTTCAAATGTAACGTTGTAAGCCTCATTTTGGCGCCCCCTTTACCTTGGCGCCCGGGGACACGTGTACCCCCCTGCTCCCCCCTCACTACGCCTCTGTTGGGGGGAGTGGGTGGGTGAGTGAGTTGGGGGAGTGGGTGGGTGAGTGAGTGGGGGGAGTGGGTGGGTGAGTGAGTGAGTGGGGGAGTGGGTAGGTGAGTGAGTGGGGGGAGTGGGTGGGTGAGTGAGTGAGGGGAATGGGTGGGTGAGTGAGTGGGGGGAGTGGGTGGGTGAGTGAGTGGGTGGGTGGGTGAGTGAGTGGGGGGAGTGGGTGGGTGAGTGAGTGGGGGGAGTGGGTGGGTGAGTGAGTGGGGGGAGTGGGTGGGTGAGTGGGGGGAGTGGGTGGGTGAGTGGGGGGAGTGGGTGGGTGAGTGGGGGGAGTGGGTGGGTGAGTGGGGGGAGTGAGTGGGTGAGTGGGTTGGTGGGTGAGTGGGTGGGGGTTTCACATCACGTACAGTGAGTGAAAAAAATTAACCCGTAAAAGCTAAGTTTTTCACTATAAATCCTTTATATGCGTGGCGGCTAGAGTCCTCTCGTCCTCTGGCTTGAGATGGCTGCCACCTATGGGTCAGATGATTGCCTGCCACCATTAAGCAATTGGTAATGAAATATTAAAAAAAAATCCTAAAAAGTGGAACATTTTGGAAAAACATTTTCACGAAAATAAATTGTCACGCACAACGAGTCTGTGTGCAAAATGTTAGCTCGATTGGATCACGGGAAGTGGGTTAAAAAACGACCGAAAGATTTGCAAGCAAGCAAGTGAACTTAATATAAAGGATTTAAAACGTATTTGGTCCCCTGCTTATTTTGTACGTTTGCCCACTGACAAATAAATGTGATCATTGCAACTCCACGAGGTGAGATCTTGCATGGAGCCCCAGGCTGAGGGAGATTGACAGTTATTTTGTGTTTCTTCCATTTGCGAATAATCGCTCCAACTGTTGTCATCTTCTCACCAAGCTGCTTGGCGATGGTCTTGTAGCCTATGCCAGCCTTGTGTAGGTCTACAATCTTGTCCCTGACATCCTTGGAGAGCTCTTTGGTCTTGGCTATGGTGGAGAGTTTGTAATCTGATTGATTGATTGCTTCTGTGAACAGGTGTCTTTAATACAGGTAACAAGCTGAGATTAGGAGCACTCCCTTTAAGAGTGTGCTCCTAATCTCAGCTCGTTACCTGTATAAAAGACACCTGGGAGCCAGAACTCTTTCTGATTGAGAGGGGGTCAAATACTTATTTCCCTCAATAAAATGCAAATCAATTTACAACATTTTTGACATGCGTTTTTCTGGATTTTTTTGTTGTTATTCTGTCTCTCACTGTTCAAATAAACCTACCATTAAAATTATAGACTGATCATTTCTTTATCAGTGGGCAAACGTACTAAATCAGCAGGGGATCAAATACTTTTTTTCCCTCACTGTACAGGACGTACGTCAACTTCTTTCGCACCGTATGTAGCCAGCCGCGCTAATCGTAGGGGCGTAACTCGTGCGGTGGGAAATTCGTCACACCTCAGAAACTCGGTTGGTAAGCATGCAGTAGTCAGTGGATAAACATGCAGTAGTCAGTTGTTGAGCATGCAGTAGTCAGTTGGTAAACATGCAAGTAGTCTGTTGGTGAGGACGCAGTAGTGACGACGTTTAAACGCCTCCAGACGGCATGGAGGAGGAGGAGGAGGAGGAGGAGGCGGCGGCGTCTCTGCAGACACGGGGCAGGCAGGCGGTCGGGGGGGGGGGGTTCTTCATGAAACGGGTTTTTCTGCGTGCTGCTGCTGCTGTGTACAGCCACTCCTTGCCTTCTGACCTGGGGGCCGTGGCGAGGCGATGGATTGGGGGCCGTGGCGAGGAGATCTGAATCAAGAGCCCCTATTTATGCCGGAGGAATCCAATGAGCTTCAAAGCTCTTTTCAAACAGATGCTCCGCCCAGCAGAGCCGGGTACTTTGACCGGTGCAATCTGTCAGACGGTCGACCCGTCTCGCTCTGCGAAGCATGCAGACTCGTTTTGCCACCCAATCATTGTCCTCTTTGAGTTCCCAGCGCCGGGTTTCTGGCCTTGCCGGCCGTGGTGCCTGGACGAGGCAACAGTCCCGCGTGCCCATTGAGGGACGGGTGCGTGGAGGCCAGCGGGGCGCGTGTGGCGGTTACTGAGCTGCGGGGAAACTCTCTCCCGCTCTCTCTTCCTCTCTCCAACTCTCTCCCCCCCTCTCTGTCCCTCTCTCTCGCTGCAGGTGGTTCTTCGGGCCAATTAAAAGAAGCGAAGCGGAGCGGCAGCTGATGAAGTCTGGCAACGTTCACGGCTCCTTTCTGGTGCGCCAGAGCGAGACGAGCGGACACGGATACTCCCTCTCAGGTGCGCCCCTCGCTGCCTCCCTTCCTCGCTCCCTTCCTCTCTTCCGTCCTCTCTTCCGTCCTCTCCTCTTTCTTCCTCCATCTCCCTTCTTCTCTCTCCACACCGCAGCGTCACCCATCACCGTCCACCGCTCACGGCGCTGCTTGTGCGGTGAAGCAGCGCCATGAGCGGTGCTGCTGCCCCTCTTGCACCCCCCCCCCACCCTACTCGTGAGGCAATGACGGCTCATCCCCGGGATATTCCAGAGGATTACCTCCTGCAGGCTTCTTGAACTCTGCCTCACCGGTGGGCCACGTACAAATATATAAACGTAAACATAGCGTGTGCTATTGGGTAAATGTCATGTGACGTCCCCCGTCATGTGACGTCCCGTGTGACGTGATATCTTAGCCGTGTGCACAGGCCCAATGCATCATTCGCCATTTGACGTCGCGCCATGGTGAGGAATCGACAGCATAAATTCAGTTTCGCTTAAGGAAAATCCCAATTTATAACAAATCTTATGACGTGAATTGTGCACGTTGTACGTGCTACGGATTAAATCGTCTTCATACCTCCTTGTCTCCGAGCTGGCGATCGTACGACGGCAGATGGAGACGTTGCCTGGTAGCTGGAGACGTTACGTGGGGTTTTGTTGTCTCCCTCAGTACGCGATGGCGACACGGTGAAGCACTACAAGATCCGGGTGCTGGAGAAGGGCAGCTTCTTCATCACGCGACGCAACCAGTTCGCGACCCTGCGGGAGCTGGTGCAGAGCTACAGCCGCAATTCCAACGGCCTGTGCGTGACGCTCAACCAGCCCTGCCTGAAGGTGCGTGCAGATGTGTCTGTCCGCGCGCGTCTCTCGAGACGAGCCACGCATTGGGGTTGGGGAGCGAGGAACTTATCGAACGCCTGTTTGTACAGAACCAGATTTTAACGTCGTTGGTTCTCAAGCCTGCCTCGTTTATGTTACTGCCCTTTGGAAGCAGAGGCTAACTCTGCAGGGAAGGTAAAGATCTCTTTTTGGGCCGCTCGTGGATCTAACAGGCGGAAGCATTGACTCTAATTTTTTTAATTCTCAACCGCTGTAAACATCGTGAAGAATAATAATCTGAATCCTGCTGAAATGTAAACAGCTTTCTTGGCGGGATGGACGTGGCCACGGCTCCGCTTCCTCCGCGCGGAGTCCCCATCTTTTTTTTGCCAAGCCGCCAATCGCTTTTCTTTCCCTCCTCCTCCCGGTGCAGAAAGAGATGCCGCAGACGGAGGGCCTCTCGTCGGACATGGCCGACAAGTGGGAGATCCCCCGCAGCTCCGTGCAGCTGGTGAAACGTCTGGGCGCTGGGCAGTTTGGGGAAGTGTGGCAGGGCCTCTGGAACAAGACCACGCCGGTCGCCATCAAAACCCTCAAGCAAGGTGAGCCGCGGTTGCCGTGTTTGCCGCGACTCCCCCTCGACTGCGGAAAGTCACCCGAACGAAAACGGCTCGCGAAGGTTTATTACCTTCCGAAGTATTTTTAACTATGGAAGCGAACCTGGCCATCGCAAATGATAGGTCACCTCGTGGAAATCTAGAAGCAGCCAAATGACTCTGAACGTGTGATGTTCATTCTAAATGTGGAGGGAAAAACCGGAGGATTCCGGAGGAAAATCCACGCGGCCACGGGGAGAGAGAAACGCAAACTCCAAATATACAGCAGCAGGTGTCAGGGTCGGGATCGAACCCACAAACTCCTGCATACCAGGCGAGGGAATTAAGATATCCTAGCCGCCGTGATCATGATGAGAGAGAGAGAGAAACACACTCCAAATATGCAGTAGGCGTCAGGATCAGGATCGAACCCACGACCTCCTGTATGCTAGGTGAGGGAGTTAACATCTCCTAGACACCGTGGCGCCCCTCATAAATATTCTGCCACTAAGGCATTTTACCTCGTGCCCAGAGAGTCAACAGATTTGTCGCGGGCCACATGAATGTAATTTGGTGTTAAGTTAAACGCAAATAGGAATTCGATCTGATATAAGACTCACCGAGTTGGCGACACTGGGTGAGCGGCTTCCTCTGACAGGGTTTATATTGTGTCTATAAACCTCTGCTGTTTTTGTCAATCGGCCAAAATGCAGACATTTAACGATGGTTTCATAACTGTGTAAATAATTGCAGTCATGTTCTGTTTTATGAAACGAACTGCGATAAACCCAGTGACCTAGGTTTGATTCCTAGCCATGGCTGACATTGGTGGGGAGTGATATCTGAACTATGGGTCGAGCAGTTATATCTGTGGGACCTTTTTCCAGTATCTAAGATGATAAAAAATAAGAATATGTTTTACCCTTTCTGGCAATGAAACAGGTGTTAAGATGTTCAAACACCAAATATTTGTGGTTCGTGCAGACTCGATGCCTTCCAAAAGGTGTCTATTTGGTCTGAAGCATGCATTGTCTTTGTTCTGTTTGCGTTTTGGCCTTCTCTGGTGGTGAGACAAGGCCATAAAGAAGGCTGTCTCTGGTGTAGGCCAATCCGTTTCAAAGACAATGCATTATATTATCAGAGCGTGTTTGTCGGTATGTTTATTGCTACAGGCATGTATGGTTAATGCAGAATTGATACCTTGCAAAAGCTGTCTATTTGATGTTTGAACATCTGCACACCTGTTGTCTTGCCACGAAAGGTAAACACCTCGTCTTACTTGTTATTATCTTGGATACTGGTGAAAAGGTCCCATAGAACACTGCGATGTCGTCTCTGCTGCTTCCCTCAATTCCACTGCCTCCCTTCGCTTCTCTTCACTCCGCCTCCCCTCCGGCATTAATTTTATTTCTCATTAATTCTCTCATAAGGGGCGCCACAGTGGGACGAGATGTTAACTACCTCGCCTGGTATTATGCAGTTCGTGGGTTCGATCCTGACGCCTGCTGTTGTATATTTGGAGTTTGCGTGTCTCTCTTCCTGTGGTCGTGTGGATTTTTCTCCGGGTCCTCCGGTTTTTCCCTCCACATTTAGAAAAAAACATCACGCGTTTAAAGTATGTGGCTCCTGTAAATTTCCACACTACGAGCCACTGTTGCGCTATAATTTCTGACCAGGTCGCTTCAGAAAACGAGCCATGTATGTATGTCGAACTTCTTTCGCACCGTATGCAGCCAACTGTGCTAATCGGAGGCCTACCTTAGTGAGCTTTACCTGATAATTAATTTGTTATTAATCTCATGACGTGGGCTACCCATTTCGCCTTCATTTCCTTTGCGTTGATAGCAATGGCTCCCTTTCTTCAGTATCCCACTGAATATCTGTGAAAAAGAGCATTATATAGCTCATCGGATTCCTCCAGTATAAACAAATAGTCTGATTCTGATCCGCAATCGTTACCACGAGGCGGCCTCGCGGGGCATTCTCTGCGAGGTCCTCCAGCCAACGCACGCTGTGGATCAGCGTCGCTGTGGTTCGACTGTCTGGAGTGCAGGGACCATGGACCGCGATGACTTCCTCAGGGAGGCCCAGCTCATGAAACGCCTGCGGCACCCCAAGCTCATCCAGCTCTACGCCGTGTGCACGCAGGAGGAGCCCATCTACATCATCACGGAGCTCATGAGCAACGGCAGCCTGGCCAACTACCTGCAGAGTGCGTACCCTCTCTGCTAGGCCTATGGAGTGCGTGCCCTCACTGCTAGGCCTGCAGAATGCATGCCCTCACTAGGCCTACAGAGTGTGTGCCCTCACTCGGCCTGCGATGCAGTATTAATTTCCTCAATTGATAATTGATATTTGGAATGGGCCACCTCATGTGTGTCATTCAAAATCCTCCGAAACCCAACACAGCCATACAAATAGCCACGTGGCTGACAAGCGTCTAGCACGCCTGTTGAATCCTCACAACCAAACCTAGCAAGTTATGTATTCATCACTCAACATAAGCATGCTATAAGCGTTTTAATCATTGCCCACTTTGTGATCTATAACACTTGTAACGCACGTGTCGTTAGTTTGACCAATAACTAAATTGTAATTTTTGCATGCATGAGAACAGAGATGAGGTCATATCACGCCGTGCAATATCTTGTATCGTGCAATATCGTTGTGTCGCCAAGGTCGCTGCTCAACCATAGCTCTTGCTCTGGCAGCGGTGTCTTGTTGCGAATAAACGAGCCCACCCTCTATCGCTGCATCCATGACTCAAGGGGCTTTGCAAGCGATCTGCTCTCTGTATGGGAGGACCGATAAACTTGTGCAGTTGTTTATCACTGGGTTAGTTGGCAGGGTTGGATGCCGATGGCCGACCCAGAGCTCATTTACATTTCAAATCGAACACCGTCGCCGTGACTGCGTGACACAGCCTGTTCTAGATTCAAAGATTAACAACGGCAGACTCGTGTCTGAGATCATCAGCAGCCATATTTTCAGAGACATTGACGTCATGCAATACCATGATGTCATACTGCAATGCAATGATGCGACACATACGTCACGCGAATGCCATAACATCGCCCCTCTTTTAAATAACGAACAATTTAACACGTAGGCTTTCGTGACCAATATCCATAATAGATTCATTTATTGGGTTAGATCGTGTAGATATAAATGTGTTGTTAAACCTGCCACCACCAGACACAGCCAATTAGTAAGGTTTGTCACGTGAACAAACATACCAATTCATTACTAGTGCAGCACGCCGGTCGTGTGTTGGAGAGTAAACCCACTACAACGTTTACAATTCGAGTACCGTGACGTTTCGCCGGTAATTACAACAACCAGCATCATCAGGCGACGGCCGGAATTGTGGAGAAATCCTCCTCCTGTTCCCATCTTGAATAGAGGGATACATGTGGTGTCGTCACTTGTGATCCAATCAGGTGTAGAGACCAGAGGTGGGGAGGGATGAATACAGGGTGCTTCAAAAAATGTTAACGCTTCCGAGATTGTTGCAACAATACCACAAGAAATGTGCCTCCGGGCATGATTCCAGGCATGTGTTGACAATTATGGCAAATAAGTGCAGACTCTTTGAATTTTGAAAGCTATTAACATTTGTTATCATGTTACAGTGTATTATCCATTCTTTTCCCATTACAAACAATAGTCCCATATCAGTGTTAACATTTTTTTAAGCACCCCGTTTATTCATATAAATTACAATCCATATCCATTAACGGTGGGGTTATTAACAGTTTAAATAAAAAAAAAAACATTCAAACAGCCCGCCAAGTAACACTTTTAACAATCGTTCACGCAGCCCCCGAGGGGAGGAGCCTGGACCTGGTGGAGCTGGTGGACATGGCAGCCCAGGTGGCGGCGGGGATGGCGTACCTGGAGGCGCAGAACTACATCCACCGCGACCTGGCGGCGCGCAACATCCTCGTGGCCGAGCACAACGCCTGCAAAGTGGCCGACTTCGGCCTCGCCAGGGTCATCAAGGTCGCGTGCTCGCCACAATACGACCCCCCACTCTCAATCCGCCGGTCAACGAGGGCCAAGGGCCCTTCTCCTGTGTGTGGGGGGGGGGGGTGTGTGAAGGCATGGGGAGGAGGGGGCCCGGGACCGCTTTTGGATTATCACGCTAATTTTGACTCGGCCATGGAACAAAGATAGTCGGCGCATTGCGCGGCACTTTTTCAGATGCACTTCCGCAGCCGTCTGCAACACCCTTCCTTCCTGCAACACCCTTCCTTCCTGCAACACCCTTCCTGCCTGCAACACCCTTCCTGCAACACCGTTCCTTCCTGCAACACCCTTCCTGCAACACCCTCCTGCAACACCCTTCCTGCCTACAACACCCTTCCTGCAACACCCTTCCTGCAACACCCTTCCTGCCTGCAACACCCTTCCTTCCTGCAACACCCTTCCTGCCTGCAACACCCTTCCTGCAACACCGTTCCTTCCTGCAACACCCTTCCTGCCTGCAACACCCTTCCTGCAACACCCTTCCTGCCTGCAACACCCTTCCTTCCTGCAACACCCTTCCTGCCTGCAACACCCTTCCTGCAACACCCTTCCTGCAACACCCTTCCTGCCTGCAACACCCTTCTTGCAACACCCTTCCTGCAACACCCTTCCTGCCTGCAACACTCTTCCTGCAACACCCTTCCTGCAACACCCTTCCTGCCTGCAACACCCTTCCTGCCTGCAACACCCTTCTTGCAACACCCTTCCTGCAACACCCTTCCTGCAACACCCTTCCTGCCTGCAACACCCTTCCTGCAACACCCTTCCTGCAACAACCTTGCCTGCAACACCCTTCCTGCAACACCCTTCCTGCAACACCCTCCTGCTACAACACCCTTCCTGCAACAACCTTCCTGCCTACAAACCCTTCCTGCAACACCCTTCCTGCAACAACCTTCCTGCCTGCAACACCCTTCCTGCAACACCCTTCCTGCCTACAACACCCTTCCTGCAACACCCTTCCTGCAACACCCTTCCTGCCTGCAACACCCTTCCTGCAACACCCTTCCTGCCTACAACACCCTTCCTGCAACACCCTTCCTGCAACACCCTTCCTGCCTGCAACACCCTTCCTGCAACACCCTTCCTGCAACAACCTTCCTGCCTGCAACACCCTTCCTGCAACACCCTTCCTGCAACACCCTTCCTGCCTACAACACCCTTCCTGCAACACCCTTCCTGCAACACCCTTCCTGCCTGCAACACCCTTCCTGCCTGCAACACCCTTCCTGCAACACCCTTCCTGCCTACAACACCCTTCCTGCAACACCCTTCCTGCAACACCCTTCCTGCCTACAACACCCTTCCTGCAACACCCTTCCTGCAACAACCTTCCTGCCTGCAACACCCTTCCTGCAACACCCTTCCTGCAACACCCTTCCTGCCTACAACACCCTTCCTGCAACACCCTTCCTGCAACACCCTTCCTGCCTGCAACACCCTTCCTGCCTGCAACACCCTTCCTGCAACACCCTTCCTTCCTGCAACACCCTTCCTGCCTGCAACACCCTTCCTGCCTGCAACACCCTTCCTGCCTGCAACACCCTTCCTGCAAGACCCTTCCTGCCTGCAACACCCTTCCTGCAACACCCTTCCTGCCTGCAACACCCTTCCTGCAACACCCTTCCTGCAACACCCTTCCTGCCTGCAACACCCTTCCTGCAACACCCTTCCTGCCTGCAACACCCTGCCTGCAACACCCTTCCTGCAACACCCTTCCTTCCTGCAACACCCTTCCTGCAACACCCTTCCTGCCTGCAATACCCTTCCTTCCTGCAACACACTTCCTGCAACACCCTTCCTGCAACACCCGTCCTGCCTGCAACACCCTTCCTGCCTGCAACACCCTGCCTGCAACACCCTTCCTGCAACACCCTTCCTGCCTGCAACACCCTTCCTGCAACACCCTTCCTTCCTGCAACATACTTCCTGCAACACCCTTCCTGCAACACCCTTCCTGCCTGCAACACCCTTCCTTCCTGCAACACCCTTCCTGCAACACCCTTCCTGCCTGCAACACCCTTCCTGCAACACCCTTCCTTCCTGCAACACCCTTCCTGCCTGCAACACCCTTCCTGCAACACCCTTCCTTCCTGCAACACCCTTCCTGCAACACCCTTCCTGCCTGCAACACCCTTCCTTCCTGCAACACCCTTCCTGCAACACCCTCCCGCAACACCCTTCCTGCCTGCAACACCCTTCCTTCCTGCAACACCCTTCCTGCAACACCCTTCCTGCCTGCAGCACCCTGCCTGCAACACCCTTCCTGTCTGCAACACCCTTCCTGCAACACCCTTCCTGCCTGCAACACCCTTCCTTCCTGCAACACCCTTCCTTCCTGCAACACCCTTCCTGCAACACCCTTCCTGCCTGCAACACCCTTCCTTCCTGCAACACCCTTCCTGCCTGCAACACCCTTCCTGCCTGCAACACCCTTCCTGCCTGCAACACCCTTCCTGCCTGCAACACCCTTCCTGCCTGCAACACCCTTCCTTCAGGAAAATGAGGAAGCCACTGGGACCCGTGCAATTTCAGATCATCGTAAGATTTAAAACGCTTCTATTTTTTTTAGAACTGATTTTTGTATTTTAGTTTGTTGTTCTGGCCCCCCATCACCTACGATTACACAGTTGGCCACGTGCGGTGTGAAAGAAGTTTAATATGCACACAGCACATACTCACCGCTGATGTTAGTCGGTACCAGGAACTAAACGCAAAATTGTTGGGGGTCATAGCACAGAGCGCAAACCACTGGGCCACGGTCCTACCTTTCTCTCAAATTGTAAATGTTGTGGGTTTACTCTCCAACAGACTGGTGTGCTAAACTAGCAACTAATTGGCACGTTTTTTTTACGTGACAAACATTACTAATTGGCTGTGTCGGGTGGTGGCGGATTAACAACACATCGATATTTACGTGATTTAACTCAACAAAAAAACCTTTATTATGGATCATATTAAATCGTTTTAGTTTTTCCGCTTAATCTGGCTTGTTCCAACTGATTGACATGTGACACAAACAGTTTTCAGGGCGTGTCCCAGGGCAGAGACAGGTGCCTGTTCAGGTGACTCCAGAAGCTGCTCCGTGATTTCGCCTTCCAGGCTGTTTTCTGGCTGCAGGGTTCCAAACGCAAACTCCCTCATCTGATCTCGATTTGAAGTTTTCGTGACTCCAGGGATCCATACTCTTTGGTTCTTTCGGTAAAGTCATATAATAAATTAAATCACGACGTTTCGGGCGCAACACAAGCGTCCGTCATCAGGTGGGACAACCACAGCAAGAGACAATTGCTGAAGTGGGAAAAAGGGGCTGCTGCAACAAGAGGCCATATAGGCATCTCATTGGCACGATGCTAAGAAGCACGATTGGGGCGCCCATTAAATAGCTTTTTGGATATTTCCCGCTAAAAATAAATAAAATCTAAATGTCAAATCTAAAATGGCAGCAAACAAGGTCCCTTTGCTTTACAATTATTTTTCGTGAGTATTCTAAATTTCTGTAATGGGTTTTGTAAAGTTTAACACGTAGGCTTTCGCGACCAATATCATCCATAATAGAGGTTTTTGGGTTAGATCGTGTAAATATATAAATGTGTCGTTAAAACCCGCCACCACCCGACACGGCCAACTAGTAAGGGTTGTCACGTAAACAGAACGTTGCCAATTCGTCACTAGTACAGCACACCGGTGTGTTGGAGAGCCAAGCCACAACATTTACAATCTGAGTACGACGTTTCGCCAGTAATTACAACTAGCTTCATCAGGCGACAGCCAGATTTGTAGAGACGTCTTACTGTTTCGTTCCTTATATAGAGGCGTAGATGTGTTGACCACCCTTCTGCGCTCTTGCACAATGATGGGGGGGTAGGGATTACTGAGGCAACGTACATGATGCATGTGCATTATGCGAGCCCTTTGAACTTGTCCTTCCTGTCTATTGTTTATTAAAATAGCCCTACCAACGGTAATCCCTATTGAAGTACGCTGCCCTTTGTAGGCATACATTTAAATAATGTGTTACTTGATGATTCGCTTCCACGCAGCACCAAGACGGTAGCTATCTGAACGGTTAAAGTTATTTTGATTTGATAATTGGTTCTTTACCCTTCTATCTGGCAACAAAACTGACACCTTTTTACAAGGAGTCATGTTTGCATAGACCGCAATACCTGCAGTCATAATACAAACTAAAGAACATAACTCTGATAATGTGCACTGTCCCTGAAGTTGATTGGTCCACACCCGAGACAGCTTTCTTTCGAGCCTAGTCTCATATGGGTTGGACCAGATGACGCCAAAAGGCGCACAACTCAAGGACAATGCACCATCAGAGTATGAGAGCTCGGGGCAAGCATCTACACTATGGGGACCTCATTTGCCAGTAAAAATATGATAATTGGTTCTTTACCCTTCTATCTGGCAACAAAACTGACACCTTTTTACAAGGAGTCATGTTTGCGGTCTATGCAAACATGACTCCTTGTAAAAAGGTGTCAGTTTTGTTGCCAGATAGAAGGGTAAAGAACCAATTATCATATTTTTACTGGCAAATGAGGTCCCCATAGTGTAGTTATTTTGATTTCTTTAAATTTCGATAGATTATCTTATTAGTCTTGGCCAGTAGTAGCTAGTTTTGCACAAAACTTCAACATTATCAAAATCAATTGTTCTGCTACTGCTGACAGTTGCATTTGCCAGAATTTAATATTTCTCTGATGTTCTTTTAGTCTCGTGCTGATCATTCGTCCTGATTGCCCAACATAACATTTACCACACGTGCAGTTAATCCTGTATACACCTGCTGTTGATAGCTTCGGTAATACAGCTTTTGTACCAGATATTAAATGTAGTATTTTATGTACTCTAACTCGGATGTTTTGTTTTTCCAAACAACTGGCGAGTTTATCAGTTACTCCCACAATGTACGTTATTTTGATCGTTTTATTTACTTGGGCAGTTTCAATGCTCGTGTTATTTGATTTGGTTTTGGTATTCAATGCCCTGTTGATTTGTGTATCATTGTCACCATTCATTTGCAGCACTTCTTTAACATGTTTAATTTCACTTCTCAGACTGTCACCATCTGACACTTTCTTTGCTCGATGAATGAGCATCTTGATAAAAGCAGTATTCTGTGCTGGGTGATGGTGTGACTGCATTCAGACAGGCGTCAGTATGCGTTTTCTTTCGGTAAAAGCTGTGTTATTAAATCCTTTATATTAAGTTCACTTGCTTGCTTGCTTGCGCGCTTACGACCGTGCAAATCTTTCGGTCGTTTTTTAACCCACTTCCCGTGATCCAATCGAGCTGACATTTTGCACACAGACTCGTTGTGCATGACAATTTATTTTCGTGAAAAAAAATTCCAAAATTTTCCACTTTTTAGGAAAATTTTTTTTTAAATCCTTTATATTAAATTCACTTGCTTGCTTGCGCGCTTACGACCGTGCAAATCTTTCGGTCGTTTTTTAACCCACTTCCCGTGATCCAATCGAGCTGACATTTTGCACACAGACTCGTTGTGCGTGACAATTTATTTTCGTGAAAAAAAAATTTCACTAACACAATCATATATTTTTCCTAAACACAGAAAATTATTCAAGAAAACAACAAAAATGTACAATGTAAACAATCATACAAAAACTGAAAACCTTATAATCCTTATATACGACTTTCCTTATATTTAATTTAAAATACCAATGTGATAAAAAATGAAACTCTTACTCAAGAAAAACAGAAATGAATAATAAAATAAAGCCGATGCCACGCATATAAAGGATTTATAGTGAAAAACTTTGTTTTTACGGGTTAATTTTTTTACCATTTCTACCCCGTCCAAGCAAAATATCCAGAAATGGTCGAGTTCTGTCAGCTTCCACTTCCATGGTGAACTTGATGGATGGGTTTTGCGAGTTGAGATTATTTATAAATGCATTCAGTGTATCTTTGCCGTGTGGCCAGACCACCAACGTGTCATCCCCATATCTAAACGAAGTAGATGGTTTTAGTGTGCTTGAAGCTATTGCTTTTGTTTCAAAATCTTCCATGTACAATTTCGCTATCACAGGCGACAAAGGAGAGCCCATTGCTGCTCCTTCCTTTTGTTTATAGAAGTCACCTTGCCCCAAGAAGTGTAATATTTGCCTTTTATAACTTTCCACGTGATAAGCCACTTAATTGAGCTATCATTTGTGATGGCCATGCCGCTTCTGAAAAAGCGCTTATAGCGCAGTGGGCCCTTACCTGGTAAAATAAACAAAATTGTTTCGTTTAGAGTGTTAAAAACAAAAACCATATTTTTATATTACCAGGTAAGGCCCACTGAGCTATGTAGCTCTTTGTCAGAAGCATCCTGGCCACAAACGATAGCTCAACCAAGTGGCTGATCACGTGGAAATGTGTCGCAGCCAAATTCTCTAAACGCGTGTCGTTGATTCTAAATGTGTCCCTCTGTGCTTCTTCAGGAGGATGAGTATGAGGCACGGGTGGGCTCCAAGTTTCCCATCAAGTGGACCGCGCCGGAGGCTGCCAACTACAACCGCTTCTCCATCAAGTCCGACGTGTGGTCCTTCGGGGTGCTCCTGCACGAGATCGTCACCTACGGCAAACTTCCGTACCCAGGTGCGGCGTGTGCGCAGGGGCTTTGGAGGCGCGAGGAGGGTGCGTAGGTGTGGGGGGGAATGGGAATGCTCGCCACGCAAGCTGGGACACGCAACAGGCCTTGCGGTCAACAAGGAGAGCAATCGCGTTGCAAATGCTGGACATTTCATGGCAGATTTGTTTGCTTTTCAATGTTTTTTTATTATTACTTGGCAGTTCAGATGTGACAGACAGCCTAGTCAAGGGGGATGAATACACTCGTGCCTCAGAGCAAGAGGGGCCTGTCTTCGATTGTAACACTGTGCACAGTTTGTATGTTTTCGCCCCGTTCTGCATGGATTTCCTCTGAGTTCTTCTGAAGTTATTTTTCCAGCTAAAAACCACACACACACAATGTAACTTGTATTATTTTCTTTCTACGTGACTTTACCGAAAGAACCAAAAAGTTGTTTTGGACAAACAACCCAATGCTGAAAAATACCCTGCAAATTTCTCAAAAGTGTAGCAATAGCGCCCCCGACTGCACAGACTTGGCAGGGCCCTCCTGAAAAAAAACAGCTTGAGGCCTGCCTGAGTAAACGAACATAACAACAATAATAAATTAACATCTGACGCTTCAGTAATTGCCAATACATTCACGGTGAACAGACGCTCTCGTTCACTACACGGGTCGGTGTCCAGGTCCATTTCACGGCGGTGTCGAGATGTTAACAACCTCGCCTTGTATGCAAGAGGTCGAGGGTTCCATGTATAATTGCACATTTTCCCCCTGGTGGCAAAAGATTTTTCTTCCGGGTCCTCCGGTCTTTCTCTCCACCTTTAGAATCAACACGCGTTTAAAGTATTTGGCTACTATACATTTCTACGTTATAAGCCACTTTGTTGAGCTATCATTTGTGGCCAGATCGCTTCTGAAAAAGAGTGATATAATTCAGTGGGCCTTACCTGGTAAGATAAAAATAGTTTAGTTAAAGTCTCTAATGTCACTTTCCATTAATGTTAGCCATGGCCAGGAATCAAACTCGCTTTGCTAGAATGGGATGTTAACCACTGCTCCACCACTTACATTATGCGATCAGTATAATTGTAACATTATACCGATTATACGTGTTGTGAGGAAACTTTCGTTTTGTACAGCGTTCCCTCGTTATTCACGGAGATGCTTGTGAATGGAAAATTTTGGAGATAATGGAATTGGCCTACGAGAATCTATCTTTTAATTATCTTAAATTAATACATAAGCTATTAAATACATGAAAATGATCATAATACAAAAATGTGGTTTTAATAAACATAAAGTGAATTAAAATCAATATGAAAGTATAAAAAAAAATATGTTTGATTAATTAACTTACCTTAAATTATGATGATGCTATGCATCATGCTACGCATCATCACTTTCTATCTCACCGCTTTATCTCTCATAACTTTATTTCATCACTCTCTCTCTTATCCCTTTATCTCTCATGTCACTTGATCTCATCACTTTCTTTCTCTCTCTGCCTCGATGCAGCAGTTGTGCAGAGTTCCCGATGCCATTCGCGGATAGCCAAAAATCGCGGGCAGCAAGCTCGCAAATTAACAGGGAAACACCGTAGCGGCGGTCCGTCGTGGTAAAAATGTCACACGGTCTACGAGGAAAGGCTTGTCCGCTGCAGCTAGCGCATTGTTCCCCTGCACCACAGGCCAAACCAACGCGGAGGTGCTGGCCGCAGTGGACCGCGGCTACCGCATGCCGTGCCCGGCGGGCTGCCCGCAGGCCTTCTACGACCTCATGCTCGAGTGCTGGAACGTCGACGACCAGGCGAGGCCGACCTTCGAGACGCTGCAGTGGCAGCTCGAGGACTTTTTCAGCCAGGAGGGCACCAACTACACGGAGGCCGGCGCGCTCAGCTAGACGCCCGCTGCACGCGCGGCGTCGCCCGACTCCGAGGGTTGGACGGTCACGCGAGGGGTTGCCACTCATCGCGGTTTTCCGACAATGTGGTCCTCTCGTTGAGGCGTCTTCACAGGATATGTTTTTCTTTGTTGCGTAATAATACACCGCCCAAGACGGATGTATTTATGTTTAGTTCTCCGATCTTCTGGTATTGTGAGATATACGGTAGTCCCTCGGTTAACAGTGACATCGGTTAACAGTTTTCCGGTTAACGTTTCGCCTCCCATAGCACCCCACGGTTTCGACTTCAACGTGAACATTCTGATTAATGTCATGTGTTTACGTTATCCACGCGGGCGACAATTTCGGCCAATCAGAGCGCCCGTAAGTGGGGCTTAGCCACGGCCTCAGCCAATCAGCGACGCCCATTTGTGAGCGTTAAGAACTCGACTGGCTTTGTTTACATTGTAACGTTTTCTGTTTTGGCAGTGGAAACAGCTCTCTTGCAGACTCACATAATTCCTATATTCGATTAACAGTTATTTCGGTTAAGAGTAGTTTTCGTGGAACGGATTAAAGACGTTAACTGAGGGACCACCTGTACTTTTTATGCTATGCCCATGATATATCCTGGGTGTTCTTTTTTACTTCAGAGGTGGCAACTATGAACACAAACACGCACACTAGGTTTTTCTTCCTGTTTTTTTTTTAAAACAAATAAATCCTACCAAAACAAGTTACGATGGGAAAGAAACCAGCCTATGCAAGCGTTTGAACTGGCTCTTCCCCCAATTTAAGGTGGCACATTCCTCATCAATATCGGGGTGGGTTGCACCACCGACCTTGGGCACCCACAGGTAGAAGTCGCAGTGGAGAGTAGCGGATCGCTGGTGCTTCTCTCCGCGTGATGATCATTCACGATGGTGGCAGACGTGGGGCTGCGAAACGTTGGCCACGTGGAAGCCGAGTGCTCTGATGATAGAAATTAGCTTTTACGTGATGAGAAGTTATTGTATTTCAGGGCCAGGATTATGTGCCAATATTTTAAGTAAAAACTTTAGGCAGTATGCCGCTACTGCTGCTGCTGCTGCCAAAGTATGAATGGTTAGCACACGAGACTTACGATCCAGGTCACCGTATTGATCTCCTGGTGTGGCAAGTTGAGACAATTGTCAAGTTTCTTAAATGCCGCTGCCTCTGTCCACCCCGCGGTATAAACGGGGTACTGTACACCAGAGTTATTCGTGTGGTGGGGTAAAGTGTGGGAACCTCCAACTGTTGTTTCCCAAGACGTCTGACCAGCGTGGAAGAGTAGGCCAGAATTCCCTCGAGTGGGGATTTAGAGCTGCCTCTGGTGGAGGCCCTGCCGCCAGCAGTGGCGTGAGCAAGCAATTGCAGGGCTGCACCTTTATCTTTTTACTAGAGGCGGGGAGAAAAACATCTAAATGTAATTTCCACACAGACCTTTCATTTATTTGAATCCTCTCGTTGGAGCTTGGAGCAGGTTGGTGTTTTGTGCATAGCACGCTGTATGCACTATTTACCATGAAGCATGGGCCACTTAACTCCGGTATTCCCTCCCTCTGCCTGCATTTCAATGAATTGTCACTATCCGGGGTCGTGATTCGATTGAAGAATCAAAAACAAAAATGTGCCTCGTATATTTTTCAACCATCTCGTTTGTTTTCACATTTCTTCCATTTTTTTGTCGAGTTGCGTTTGTGCCCGTTCGTGTGTATGTGAAACGACATGTTTGCATAACTTTTTAAAGAATAGATTATTGCAGGAATCAATTTTAATCGACGATTCATTGCATTGCGACGTGCCTAATTTAGAAATAATAATACAAACTACATGTGAAATACACTGGCGTGTATTTAACTGAAAACTGCACTTGTGATCCACTACTCTTGACTCTGCCAGTCTTTGGGTACACTTTATGCATTTACTGGGCCCGTTTTACACCGACCTGTGTTCACTCTTGCCGGTAACGTGCCCGTCTGCCGTTGGCTTTAGCGTTTTATTTCCGAGGCCTCGTGTACCAAGTCTGCCCGTGTCGCGTGCACCCTGCGTGTCGAGATGCACGGTGCATTGTACCCGAAAGGACCCTTGGGCTTGCTTCACGATGCAGAGCGCGTGAGGAATTCGCAAGGGGAATGCTTCGAGGCCGAATGGCGCTTTACGGGCTACGTTGCTCCGTCACAGTTAGTGCTGGAGGAGCGCCTTTCCGTGGGTTAACGTCTTTGCTGCGGTCGCTACAAGCAGAGGCGATTCGGTTCTCGAACCGTGTAACCGCAGGGATCCCACTGGGATCGCAGCTCGCTCGTTCGTCCCGGTACGCGTGTCCTGTGAGCACGTTGAACTTCTTTCGCGCCCTACGTAGCCAACCGTGCTAATCGGAGGTGCGGGGAAGGACGGAAAACTTAACGCAAAAGGCGTACCGTTTAGTGTAAGCAAAGGAACGTTTAATGGTTGTAGAGTCCAAACGTGTTTTGAGGATAGCAATTCCTTTCACATGCAGTGCTAGCTGTTAAATACAATGCATCCTGTGTGCGCGTTGAGCCTTTGACCAAGTCGGCCTGAATGCGCCCGATCACATGGGATCTTGGAAGATAAGCGGGATTTGAGCCTGGATAGTGTTGGATGGTGGCCACCGTTACAAAACAGGTGCTATGGGCTGATTCTGCGGGATTCTGCGGGGTTACACGGTGGGCAGCAGAGGGCAGTACAGCACAATCCATTGCTATACTGTACTCCTCGCCCCCCCCCCCCCCCGCGTCTGCGCTCTTTCAACCCACACAACCCGCATGGCCCGTATGGCACGGGGAGGCCCTCGTCCAGCAGTGTAGTGACACAAGGGCTACGTGCACGCGCGCCCACGTGTTTCTGCAAGAGAGCGACCCGGAGTGTGGTGCACAGCGCTCACCCCGCTGCGTGCTTCTTTGCGCTGTCGTTTCCAGCACAAGCTACGGCGGCGAGGAGATGTTAACTCCCTCGCCTGGTATACAGGAGGTCGTGGGTTCGATCCCGACCCTGATGCCTGCTGTATGTTTGGAGTTTGCATGTTCACCCCGTGGTCGTGTCGATTTTTCTCCGGCTCCTCCGGTTTTCCCCCCCCACATTTAGAATCAACATCACGCGTTTAGAGTATTTCGCTGCTATACATTTCCACGCGGAAAGCCACTTCGTTGAGCTATAATTTGTGGCCAGGTCGCTTCTGAAAAAGAGCCGTATAGCTCAGTGGGCTTTACCTGGTAAAATAAAGATAGGTGAGTTTTAGTTTATGTCACTTGCCACTAAGTGACAACTGGCCATCGGGGCCCTGCTTGACACACAGGGACGCAACACCGCCCGCACTGCACTGCCTTGCCAATCGGGAATGGCTGCAGCAGACGTGCCATCTTGCAACAACAATTGCATACATCACCGAGGAAAATATGTTACGTCATTAAATGTCGTTGCCAATATGCTTTTGCAAAGCATGCGCTGGTTAAGCCCCGAGGGTTAGCATTAAGAGTTATTGGGCCCACTTCACGTACACTTTGCTCGCGCTTTTCCTCAATTATTTCACCGAGCGGTGTAAATTTTACCAAAAAAAGTTCTTTGAGAACGGCTGTCGCGACGGTGCTCACACACTACCAGGGAGACGGAGTGCACAACGTTGACCAATCACGTCGTATATAAGTAACCAAATAAGCAGACGATGTGCCTCCTTTCACGTATGTTCCTCCACATTTTAAAAAAAGTGTTTTATTTACACATCCCATCATCCGTGTGCAGCCTTCTGGAAGTGCTGAATTTCAACAGCATTGGTTTGATTTCAAACTCTGTCGGTTTTGACGTTCAGTGTCTCGTCAGCAGTCAGGCTTTCTTAAACTTGTGAACTGACAGATGTTTAACACGTAGGCCCTAGGCACCAATTGTGTTCATGATAGATTGTGTAAATGTGTTGTCCACCCACCTCCACCCGACAGACAATTAGTAAGGGTTGTCACGTTACCAGAACGTGCCAATTAGTAACTACTTCAGCACACAGGTGTATTGAGAGAAAATCAACAACATGTTAGGTAAGGGCTGTTTCTTAAAAACTAAATACAACTATGTGTATGTATGTTGAACTTCTTTCGCACCATACACAGCGAACCGTGCTAATCGAGGGTGTGTGCGGGAATGACAAACTAAACACAAAAAGCAGTTCTCAAGAAATTCGTTTTCAAACGCTATACCAAGTTGGTGCCATTGCTGGACTCGACCCCAATTCCACCAAGTTGGTGGTTGCTCCGGTGCAGAATGAGGTGGCAGAACACACGTGTCTCAAGGGCAAAATCGGCCGCTCGTGCATTGCAATTGGAGGAGTGGGGACGATATCCCCGTAGAATCGGCCGCCTTTCACTCAAAACGGGACGCAGTGACAGCCAAAAAACCTCACGAATCATGAATCGGGCCCACAGACCTTGGAATAAAGACTATGGGATCTCCGGCTTGTTTTAGCTCCGGCTCTTTAACGTTACTTGAATCCTTTGCGAATGCCGTCGATCTGCAGTGTGTGCAGAGACCGCTTCATCAAAACATCTCAACACTGAATCCTAATACACACTTTGTGCATTAAACACACATTACTGTAAACGTGATGAATAATTGCTATTTTTGTTAAGTCATTGGTACTAACTATATTTTGTCTTATTAACAGGTAAAACTTGTTATCTTGTGCACTTTGGAAAAATAAAGTGTTTAAATTTATTTTATTACTGCGTAATTGTGGTGATGGGTGTGTCTGATTGTCTATCAAATTTGTGACAAAATCCAGATTTTCACCAAAGCTTCATGGGGTGTGGAGGAGGGTGGGGACGGTCCTCCCAACACCGGGCCTGCCCTCCCGATACCCTGGGCCTGCCCTCCCAATACACAGGAGTCTGCCCTCCCGATACCCTGGGCCCAGGGCCGGATTAAGATTTTGTAGACCCCTGGGCTCCAGGTATTGAGGCCCCCAGTAATATTTTCAAAAGGAAAACAAAGCTAAATAAATAAATTTTTACGAGGCTAATAAATAAAATTCAGCATTCACAAATGAAAACACTTTTCACTTCATCTCTGGAGGCCCTCCAGTTGGCGGAGGCCCCTGGGCTCCAGCCCCTAAAGCCCCGTGCCCTGATCCAGCCCTGCCTTGGGGCTGCCCTCCTGATCCAGCCCTGCCTTGGGGCTGCCCTCCTGATCCAGCCCTGCCTTGGGGCTGCCCTCCTGATCCAGCCCTGCCTTGGGGCTGCCCTCCTGATCCAGCCCTGCCTTGGGGCTGCCCTCCTGATCCAGCCCTGCCTTGGGGCTGCCCTCCTGATCCAGCCCTGCCTTGGGGCTGCCCTCCTGATCCAGCCCTGCCTTGGGGCTGCCCTCCTGATCCAGCCCTGCCTTGGGGCTGCCCTCCTGATCCAGCCCTGCCTTGGGGCTGCCCTCCCCATACCCGCCACCACGTGCGGGGTGCCGTGGGGAGGCCGCCCTTGGGAGTGGTCTCTGCTGGGTGGACTCCACTCGTCTGGGCGTGCCCACCTTAAAGTCACATTTATTTGTTAGATCGGTGTTATTTATCAAGATCGTAGCGTTTGTTTGTTACTCAGTAGAAACTAGTAGGCAATTTATGCATGTACCAATATTACAAATCTTCAGAATCTTTCATCATAGTGGAAAAATCCGATGAAGCTATACAGCGCTGTTCATGTCCCGTAGGTGCGGGCCAGAAATTTACAACACGAGTACAACGTACAGGAAATGTAAGCGAATCAATAAAAAACTAAAGTTTTTTCTTACCAGCTGAAACCCACTGAGCTATTAGCATATTTTTCACAAGCGACCTGGCCACATTATAGCTCAACGAAGTAGCTTATAATGTGGAAATGTATCGCATCTTCACCAAGGGGTGCATGATGCCCTTTCTGGGGGTGCGAGTCATGGGCCAGATATGTTTAAAAGGTAAATAATCAAGTTCAAAGCACTAATTAAGCACGGGAAAACCCGATGTAGTTATCAACATAAAACATTTAAGATAGAGAACCGAAGTGTTCTCGCGGCAAGGCTGCAGTGTAAAGGTTATAAAAGGGCCACCGCTGCTGCTGCTGCAGCCACTGCTGTCGTCGTCGCGGCCTGGAGGCGGCGCAGGAGGCCACGCTGCTCGTCCCTCCACGGCCCCGCGCGTGGCCCCTGCGCGGTGACGTCACGCGTCACGTCTGCGCGGTGACGTCACGCGTAACGCCTGCGCGGTGACGTCGCGCGTCACGTCTGCGCGGCGACGTCACGCGTCACGTCTGCGCGGCGACGTCACGCGTCATCTCTCGAGGCGTTGTCACCAATTGGTGACGTCACGCCTTTTGTGGGACCGTGACGTCACTTCCGCCTGTGCAGAGTTCCCTCCTTGGCGAGAAACGACGGCGCCTCCATAACTCCCCTCACGCTCCCCGCCTCGACACTCGCCGCCTCCTCCTCCTCGCACCACCCCCACGTCTCAGCGCGGCAGCCCGCGGTCTCCTCGTCTCGTCCCGTCGGTGAGAGGGCGCGGGCGCGGGCGCGAGGAGAGCGCGGCGAGGGGGTTTCTCGGGGGACCCGCCAGGCTCCGGCAGTGAGGCGCGGGCCATGGGCGCGGTCCTGCCGCGCGGGACCGGAGACGGAGAGAGGTAGAGCGGAGAGGGTAGAGGGGAGGGTAGAGGGGAGGGTAGAGGTGAGGGTAGAGGTGAGGGTAGAGGTGAGGGTAGAGGTGAGGGTAGAGGTGAGGGTAGAGGGGAGGGTAGAGGGGAGGGTAGAGGGGAGGGTAGAGGGGAGGGTAGAGGTGAGGGGAGGTGAGGGGAGAGGTGAAGTATGAGACGGCCCTCGGCTTGAGGAAGGGGAGAGGCTGCGATGTTGAACTTCTTTCACACCGTACGTAGCCCACCGTGCTAATCGAAGGTGTCTGCGGTAGTGTCCGCGTGTTTCTTTATCCAGATGTTCGCGTCCGTGTTGCTTCTTTCACGATCTCCTTGTGTCTGTGTCTCGCTCTGATTTCCCGATCGCCACGATCCGATCCACGGAGACCCCAACACGGTGTATCTGTTAACGCGGTCCCACTGTGGTCGTGAACTAACAAACACCGCCCTGTCCCGTCTTGTGAACTAACAAACACCGTCCCGTCTTGTGAACTAACAAACACCGTCCTGTCTTGTGAACTAACAAACACCGTCCTGTCTTGTGAACTAACAAACACCGTCCTGTCTTGTGAACTAACAAACACCGCCCTGTCCCGTCTTGTGAACTAACAAACACCGTCCCGTCTTGTGAACTAACAAACACCGCCCTGTCCCGTCTTGTGACTGGGGAATTGCCACCATTGACCGAGCCCCACGCTCGAGTTCAAGTTCCATCCCGAGGTCCTATCCAGGGCTGGGCCTGGAAAGTTCATTAAAGGGCGAGTGACTGCCACGCATAATCGGGTTGTTATTATTCATAATCGACCTACGTGTTAAACTATCGGGTGGTTATTGATCGCGGGCGGTTGAACTGCTTTGCAATGCGCCCTCTACGTCGTCTGCTCACCCGTGTCTCGTGTGGTGAAGTTTGGTCAAATCGACACACGACCCGGAACGGCTCGGGAAGGCCATCAGTCGTTTGAGAAGTGTTATTGTACGTGTACAATAACACTTATGTGCTTAACGTGCTGTCAAAACAAATGCAAATTAATAAGCCCTCTCGTGCCGTGCCCTGTTTAATACTTGGTGTGTATGGTGTCTTCAGTGGAGTAACACAATAGTGCGAAAATGCGAAAAGTAATTTAACAAGTCCTCGCCCCGCGGGGTAAGTTGACAATACCGCACAGTACGTCCTGCTGATTCATATGCTGGCGGTGGACATCGGAACATAGAAGCAGAACCTTTATAGACGCAGGAGCTGCCCAGTCGACACTGTCCAGGCCCCTTACTGCGTTTGTTTGCGCTGTTGGGCACATTCCGGATGATTTGGTCATGTTAGGCTTAGCCCACCACGTACGCAATACAACCAAACAAGCGATGACTTGACTTAGGAAAGGTGAGTAGTAGGGGACACGAGAGTTGTCACCAACCAAGCGAGGACTTCTTGACTGTCAGCAAAGGTGAGGAGTGCTCGAGCAGGAGGGATGCGTGGCTGGCGAGAAGACTCACGATGGAGACGTTATCGAGGGAGGGAAAGGGGGACGACCGCTGCACAGATGAAGCGATGACATCGTCTTTTGTTGCAGGGCATCGGAATGTGTTTACATCACAGGGCTAGGCCCGTGAGAGATAGAATACTGCTTGTGGATGTCTTTATCCAGCAGTGGATTGATACTGGTAGGAACCGCCAGGTTACACCAGCCCAAAGGGGATTATTGTGTCCGTCCGTCGTGCTGGGAGGGGCTGGGTGGGGAGGGAGGGGTGAGGAGGGGCTGGGTGGGAGGTGGGAGGGGTGGGGTTGGGTGGGGAGGGGCTGGCCACCCCGTGGTGCCCTTATAAAACTCAACGTTTAACCTACTCACGCCGGCTTGTGCCCGCCCTCACAGTCGGGCATATTTGCGGAATACACCACGCCGCCGTTGACCCTGGCCATTGACCGAGCACACAACGTTCCTACCAGCTCCCTCCGCAGGAATGTGTTTCCTGCTGATAATGATGCATCAAATGAATGTACACCCCGGCATCACTTAGCTGCTGGATGACGGTCTTCTCACACCGTGGAGTTTGTGAAGGTTGTTTGGCGATACTTGACGCTGGTCAGTGTGGGTTGGTGAAGGGTCGGGGGGCGGGGTAGTCCAGGACAAGAGTAATTCGCCACTGATGTTAGCTGTGATCGGGAATCGAACTCGGGTCACACCGGGTGCCACCAAAGATACCACACTGAACAAATAAAAGGGCGGTCCTTCTCCCCCCCCCCCCCCCAAAAAAATACCTTCCGTCAAGATTTGCAGTATAATTTATAACAGCGGGGCCTCATGCTGCATAGCGCAGTCTCCCAACTAACTGCAGTATTTATGATTCACTCAATGCGTGAAAAAGGGGGCCATTGCCCGAAATGTCGTTTTTTTATAAATCGTTTCCTTCTAGGGGCAGTGTTATTGACAAACCGTGCCGAGTTCATTCCGAGCCAGTTTCAGTCAAAGCGGTGGGGTTCTGGGTTCCCCTCCCTCCCTCTGGAAATGGTGAAACGCGGAGCTCCGTTGGTTGGGCGCGTCCGTAGCGAGGGGGGGGGGGACCTCAGCCCGCCCGGCGCAGGTTCCGCGGCGCTCTCCGCCGCGCCTTATATGGTCACGGAGCCGCGCAGGGCGGGATTCCTGAGCGCGGTTGCGTCATCTCTCGGGGCGTGGCCGCACCTTCCCTACACAGTCATCCAGCAGTAGAGACACTGTCCTCACACAGTCATCCAGCAGTAGAGACACTGTCATCACACAGTCATCCAGCATTAGAGACACTGTCCTCACACAGTCATCCAGCAGTAGAGACACTGTCCCCACACAGTCATCCAGCAGTAGAGACACTGTCCTCACACAGTCATCCAGCAGTAGAGACACTGTCCTCACACAGTCATCCAGCAGTAGAGACACTGTCCTCACACAGTCATCCAGCAGTAGAGACACTGTCCTCAACAGTCATCCAGCAGTGGAGACACTGTCCTCACACAGTCATCCAGCAGTGGAGACACTGTCCTCACACAGTCATCCAGCAGGAGACACTGTCCTCACACAGTCATCCAGCAGTAGAGACACTGTCCTCACA